TGTTTAACGAAAAATCCTATTCAGCACTCTAGAACTAAACATATTGACATTAGGAATCACTTTATATGATATCATATTAATAATCATGATATAATCTTAGAATTTATTGACACGAAACATCAATTGGCTGATATTTTTATAAAACCCTTGATTGAGGAATAATTTGATTTTATAAGAAGAGAATTAGGCATGCTAAATTTCTCGGATACATTAGTTCATCTTTAAATTTTTCTCTAGATTTTCTTATTGAATTCTAATTTACAAGATCATTCACTTGAATCATGGACTTATGTTATGTGAAATGAGTCATATGAATTTTTTTTTATGAATTTTATATGATATTTGTGAACAAATTGTCTCCTTTTATTATGCGAATTTTCTCCTCTTATAAAAGTAGAACTTATGATTTCTGTGTGCACCACAAATGATAAAAATCTTGCAAGATGGAACTACAAAATATTTGCACCACACTTCAAGCATACAGGCAGTGGCACCGCTCAGTTAGTGGTAGCACCGCCAATGGTCATGGGTTGTAGGTGGTAGCACTGCCCAGTTGGCAGTGCCACCACCCGCAACCTATCCTATATAAAGAACAAGTTAGGGCCGGTGGTAGAACTGACTCCAACTCATTCTACACCTTTTCAAAATGCCCCAAACCTCTTGATCCTCTTGCTCTCCCTCTAGCAACTCAAAAGAATCTTCATTTTTCTACTAATTCAAGGATCAATCTCAAACATCATTTTGGTGATCACAAGAAGGAAAAACTACTAAGGTAATCCCTAAACCAAATTGATTCCCCCTTTGCATTACTTATTCTTGCCTCTTATTTGTCTTCAAAATTGTAGTTTCCATGACTTCTAGATGATCCTCAAGGGACAAAGGGAAGAGGAGATTAGATGAAACCTATGACTCCCTACTTTTTGATTCTCATCAACATGCCCTTAAATTTCCAACCATAGAATCTAGAAATGTTTATAAGGGTAAATATGTTGGTTTAGAGGAATTAAGTGATTTGGAACCTATTCAATGGTTTGCTAACCTAGATATCCTCCCAATCCTTCAAATATGTGAACCTATCTATCCTAGACTTGTTAGATTGTTCTACAATACTTTCATGTGGATGAACACGATAGGGTCTTCACTTATCTCTTAGAACATCATATACCCATTACGGATAGCATAATTTGCAATCTCATAGGAATTACGGAGAAATATAGAGGTTGTTATTTTAGAGGACAATAGGATGAAGCATCAGTTAGGACCACTTATTCTGAAGCCTTAGAAACCATCTTCGGTAATCCTAACTTATCTATTCTTCTAAAAAGCTGTGAACATTTACTACCTTTCAACACCAAACTACTTCATCATATCTTAATAAGCATTATAATTCCAAAACAATATCATCATGATGAAGTTAACCAAATGAAAATAGGAATAATGTATTAGATTATGAAAGGACATGAAAATTATTTTGGCTACCTAATACAACAAAACATGATTGAACTATCGAAAAAGGATATGATACTTCCATATAGTGGCCTAATCACAAGACTAATCCATGCTTATAATATAGTTATCCCACCTGACAAAGAAGTTATGAAACTAGATAGATTTAATATCATAAATAGAAACCTACTCCGAAGATTAAGGTGTATATTCAGAAATAAGATATGAACTAGATTACCTAAAAGGACTGATCCTCTCCCACCTGATCCAGAACCTGAAACACTAATATTTAGGGGAAATCAATCTCCTCCTACTGGTCCCTTTGAGCAACACCTCCAGTAGAGCAAGCACCCCCCTCATCTACCGATGATATATCAAATCATAAACTCTATCAATTAGTTTCATCATCAAAATTTGAGATTCAACAATATCAACTTTGGAACTAAATTTAAAATTGTTAGAAATCTTAGTTCTTAATCTAGTCATATCATCACCTATATCTTTATGAGTCTTGCATTTATCACCATGCTTGACTTTAAACACAAATACCTATTTGTTTGGTGCATCGTTAACATATTGACATATAAAAAGAAAATTTTTAGATTCGTCATCTCCTCCTACAAAATTAGCTTATTGATGTTTCCTTTTTAAATGACAAAATCTTCCAATAAGATCATATTCTTTGATTTTGAACATTGGGTTTATAGTTCTTATGATTATTTGATCTATCTCTTGCACTAGAATCATAGCATCGTTTTTGGTCATTGAAATTTTGTCTACTTAATTTGTCTATATCATTGTTATTTTTCCTCCTTGAAAATATTTAATTTACTTTGCAAAGCATATTTAATATAAGTATTTTGAGATCTATTCAAACTATACTCATGCGATTATAAAGAATTAAGCAATTCGCCAACACATATTGTTGGGCTAACATCCCATATTCAGCCCAATGTGGGCTTTATCAGCCCACATCTCACCCCTTCTTAACCTAACCCTAATTAACATTAGGGGGGTGTGGGTGGCTGCGTTTTAGAGGCAGAAAAATGCTATAAAAGGGCAGCAACGAGGGCAGTAATGAAGAGATCTTGGCAGCAGAAAAGAGGTGAAGAAAACGATAAAAAAATAAGATAAAGAAAGGGAAGAAAACAAGGACAACGCAAATAGATTGTTTTCAATCATCTAGCAGTGTTCTCATCTCAGGTTAGATCAAATCTACAGCAGACTCTTGCTGTGATTACTTAGGGAGGTTTTAGATATTATGGACAGTGACATGATCCTTGTATCCCAGTTATTCTCTTGTGATTGTTGCTAGGGTTTAAGGCAAGAAATTGAGATTTGTATATTCATTATTCTCATAGTGAATTATCTCTAGTTTGCCCTGTGGTTTTTACCCTTCATATTGGAGGGGTTTTCCATGTATATCTTGGTATTATATTTGATTGTGATTTCATTTAATTCTGCTACATATCATGGCCTACTAGTATTTATTCATATACAAAAGTTATTCCACTTTATATACCATCAACTGGTATCAAAGCAAGGGTTTTGGTGATTTAATTTTTGTATTTGAACATGGAGGCCAATAATATTTCTCGCATGATTAGTTTAAATGGAAACAATTGGATGATATAGAAACTAAGAATGGAAGATCCCTTGTATTGTAAAGATGTGTATAGACCTTTGTTGGGGATACTACAAAACCCACAACTATGATAGATGATGAGTGGAAAAGGTTAGATAAAAAAATAATTAGATTTATTCGATAGTGGCTTGATGATAGTGTCTTTTGCTAGTCACAAGTGCCCAGCAAGCCAATCACGTGAGAGATGGCACGTGTGACTTGATACAGAATCTTTTTGCTTATTATATTTTGGCATATATCACTTTATAACTATTGCATATATGGATATATATATTGTGATGTCCTTGGATTTGTGTAATGGGAATCGGATTGTGATGAGATCATGAAAATGAGATCGATTCACCTTTAAACACATATCCTAAATAATCTCGGTCATAGGTTACTTGGGAGGGACATCGTGATAATCGGATAGACTGGTGTGATGTATACCCATTCATATGATGGATGCAGCGGGTCTCATAGCTGCTCGTGTACGGACACTAGGGATACAGTACAAGTGCTCATTGGAGAATGAGTTCACTAATTGATCCGCTTACGGAATGCTGGATGGTTGATGATGCCTTATTGTTAGATAGTGATTCCGTAGTCATAGTGGTATATCTGGTCCTTAGACTTGAGACACCAAGGATGTCCTATACGAGTGCTCAACTCTTTGATACCAGACTTATAGGTTTGGCTGTCCCAGATCTAGTACAGTTGGTCATTGGGAGTGGAAGTCGACCTTACAAGAGCTATTGAGTGTCGATAGAGGATCATCCACTCTCGGCGTCATGAGAGGAATATCCAATATTTTCTTGCTCGGACAAATCCCGGGCCAGGGTCATTTGGGTTGAGAGAGAAAGAGTTCTCCGAAAGGATCCGATTAGAGCGAGACTCGAGTAGAAACCGTATGAGTTTGACAGCACCATGCTCGATATACGGTCTTTGAGATATTAGATGGATGAGGGACTATAGGTACACTATAACTGAGGACAGATAGGTCCAATGGATTGGATTCCCTTGTATCGTCTAGAGACTATGGCGTAGTGGCCTAGTACGTCCGTAGTCGATGAGTCAAGTGAATTATTACAGAGATAATAATTCACTGAGTTAGAAGAAGTTCTGACAGGTATGACTCACGGCCAGCTCGATATTGGGCCTAAAAGGTCACACACATATGGTAGGCATTGCGATGAGTAGAGGTTCGGATATGAGATATCCGATAGAGCCCTTGACTTATTAGATATCCAATAAGCCCCTGAATTATTGTATCTCATGGACAAGATCCAATAAGAGCTCATGAGAGATTATTGGACAGAGATCCACTAATCTAAAAGGCTTGGGTTAATGGATGCAGATCCAATACCCACTAGGCAAGGATCCATTAGGGTTTGATAAGGGACCTCTATAAATAGGAGGGATTCAGAGCCTCATAGGCTAGAGCCTTTGCTTGCCTCTCTTATTCTCCTTCCCCTCTCTACCTAAGAGCAGGCCTGGAGTTTTGAGGAGCGTCGTCGCAGCCCTGTTGTGTGGAACACCGCTAGAGAGGAGGACACTTGACCTCCTATACCCTCTCCTAAGGATCTACAAGGAAACAGGGATATACAATCTCCCTAGGTAATACAATCTATTCTAAACGTAGTTTTTCAGTTTCACGAATTTTGCGCACCAATCTTCGCACGATGACGAACATCTATTTGGGAATCGGGGATTTTATTTTCTTGTTCTTCCGCTACGCATGTGATGTCACCCCACAAAGATTTTCACAATAGTGGTATCAGAGCCAAGTTGTTCGTGCGATAGATTAGTTTTAAACTACGTGTGTTGTGTTTTGGAGAAGCTTTTGACGTCAAAATCGTTGATGTAAAAGCGAAAAAGGGCAGCAACTGTTGCTGCCCTCACAGATGGCAGCACTACCATCTGCGTGCAGGCAGGCAGCCTACAGTAGTAGTCACAAGGGCAGCGACGCCTACGACTGCTGCACTCGTGTGGTGATGCGCCGTAGGGCAGCGGCGCCTATGGCCGCTACTCCCGCGGGCAAAAACCCAGCAGGAGCGACCGCCCGGCGAGGCAGCAGCACCTGCGGGCGCTGCCTCACGGGCAGAACCGCCCGCGGAGTGGACGGCACCCATAGGGGCACCCGCCCGCGGAGGCGGCGGTGCCCGCAGGGGCGCCCAGTTGCACGGGCTGCACCGCCAGCGGGGGTGCCTCCTGCAGGCGAGGGCGGTGACCCCACCCTCCGCCGCACAGCCCGCCGCCGGTAGGGTGGCTGAGGCGGCGGCAGCAGCAGCCGCAGGGATGGATGAGGGCATTAGGGTTTTCTGGGCAAAAGACAGTTTTGCCCCTCAAAATTTGAGAAATTTTAGTTTCTATCTTTTGTCTAAATTATAAAAATACCCCTAGGAATTAAAAAAATTTCTATATGTCCCTGATTTCATAAAATACTAATTAATTAAAAAGTTTAGTTGATTATTATTTTTATTATTATCTAGTAGTCCTACATGATGATGATTATTTATACATATGATGTATGATGTGTGGACGGATGATCATGGATAGTGTGATGTGTATACTTGTGATTATTATTATTGGGGTCTACGAGCCTCCATTATATTTCTCGTTTATTGTCGGGCCTGCGTGCCTATGATTAAGTTGTAATCACATGAGGAGGCATAGCGGGAGCGTGGATGCGATAGCAGGACCCACGAGACGGACGATCATTATGCATGAAGATGCATCGAGATGTCAACGGAACCGACGAGGACGAGATGGACGATCACAGGGCATAGAGATGCATCGTTACACACATAGATCTTGATGTGAGTGATCATCTGGTATGATTGCTTATACACATACTAGATATGTATATATATTTGCATGCGATGTAGATATATATTAAATATGTATATGTGTGACATGTCATATTAGGAGACCAAATCATAGAAATATCTCTCTCAATAATATTAAGTCGGTAAACGTGAGGCAATTAGATTGACCCACGTGGCCTTCCATCGTTATAAGTCGGAATCGATTCCCGGTATAGGTTGAGTTGGTCGAGTCCCTCGAGACCCACCTATATCGTGAATTGCTATCTTGCTTACAACATAGAGATGTCACCGGTGACCTGAGGACATGGTATGCTTGGTCGAGTCCCTCGAGGGTATATTATCAAATCAAACTCATCTTGTAACGAAGGTGTTGACTTAACCGAGCATCATGGTTGGTCGAGTCCCTTGAGACCATGATGATTTGGAGGCCGAATAGGACGGGAATCACAAGGAGTTGTGATTAACAAGAGTTGCCTACCTTTTAGGCTTAGTGTGATTGGTCGAGTCCCTCAAGGTTACACTAAGACAATGATTGGATCCGAATCCCCACTAGAAGTCTACCGGAGACTTCCGTTTCACATGTTGAGGGTGTCGCGTGACTCGTTAGTAAAATAGTGGGAGCATATTAAGATAAAAGGTCATATCTTGATAGTTTATTTCTTGCAAAATCTGCATGTTATTCATTTCTGCTGCATCTTTATTTTCAGAAAATGTAGCTTTTGTTATATCTCATATTTTGATGATGAAACCACTTGATATGTGTTTATGATTTAATCTGTGTTTTGAGTAACGCAGGCTGCTTCGATCAGGATTAGACAGTTAACGTAGGAGGAATTGACGTTGCGTCGGAGGATATCACATCAAGATATTGGACGGCAGAAGGCTTCAGACGTCGGGCATCGGGCCAAGGAGAGTGAAATTGCGCCAAAGATATCGGGGTTGCGGAGGTCAACCGCCGATTGGGCAACAAGCCACAAGAGAGGACGATGCACCGAAGAATCGGACGAAGCGCCAACCAATGACGTGCCGGGCAACAGAATGTCAATTCACGTTGTAATAATTATCTAGATCGGAGTAGAGTTTTAGCTTGTGTGTGCAGGATTAACTACGATAATGACGAATTCATAAAGCAAAACAAAGTGTCGGAGTCAAGTACGAAGGATTCATTGCGAGTTCAAGAGTTCGACGGAAGTCCGAAGGTTCTTCGGGAATGCTGCCGGAACTAGCCGAGAATGAGTAGGGAGCTTGCCGAAGGGTTTTTCGGAAGCTCGCCGGAAGGTTCGTTGGAAGTTCGCGGAGCTCGCCGAGAAAGCTCAGAGCTTGCCGAAGAAGCTTGTTGGAACTCGTCAAGATCAAATCTTGAAGTCTAGGAGCTTGTCGGGAGTCCGTAGAATGGTTTCCGAGAGTTTATTTAAAAACCGTCGGAAATTCGCCGGAAGCTCGCCGGAAGAAGTCTTGACTTATGGACTTTGTAATAGCTTAGAAAATATCTTTAAATTCGTAGTTAGCACGTTACTTAGGGTTAGGATTAGGTGTTAATCCTATAAATCAAGTAGGGGCCAATTGGGCTCTAGTTCGGACTAGTTTGGGCTAATTTTGGAGCCCAACCAGTGAGCTGAAATAGTGTAGGCGATGGCACCGTCAGATTTGGTGGTGGCACCGCCTAGCACTCGAGAGCCAGGCAGTGGCCCGCCTGGGCTGGGTGGTGGCACCGCCCAGCACCCGAGAGCTGGGCGGTGGCACCGCCAGCATCGGGAACCAAAGAGAATTTAAATTTTGGAGCCCAAATTTGAATCCTCTTTAGGCCTATAAATACCCCTCAAATCTC